CTGAGGGGGTTTTATAGGCGGATGTGGAGAGCTGGCGACAGCCTGTCGCCAGCGTCCGCTTCGACGCCAAATCCGAGCCGAACGCAGAGGTCGAACAAAACGCCGAGGTCGAACGAACTCAGAGTTCAAAGGGGGGGCGAACGCAGAGGTCGGGGTTCGAACGCAGAGCTCGAGCTCGCCTGCGACCATCGAAGCTCACCTGGGCTACGCCTCCAGCTTCGCCTGCGTCGACATCGAGCTCGTCGGAGCTCCTCGCCGGCGCTCCTCATCGGAAATGAGGTTTGATCTACACCCTCATCCTAACAAATACTTTCAATTAGATGTGAGTATCATCACACATATTAAAACTCTAAAAGGTTTATAATCATAAGGACAATAACCTGGAGCTAGACTACAGGAAAGCATGCTCTGTACAAAAGTGCTGCGGGAATTTGCATGACTAATTAATTTTACATTTTAAGTTTTCACGCTCAAGGTTTGAGTGGCTGAGGCTCAGCAGAGTGTGAGTCGGAAATTGAGATGAGCTCGGATCTATAATCTTCAGTCCCAATAGTATCCTTCGCAATATCGGAGAGATTAGCATCGATTATGACCTTGGTAAATGATGGAGCGGTGAATGGGAGGATCATCTCTGGAATAGACTGAGAGATCGCTATGAGTGAGCTCCGTGCAACTTCATCTAAAGCCTCTTTCTCCAGCGTAATCATGGTCTCCATGGGAAATTTGTTAACCTGTGAAATTCAAAGTTACTCTCACTAATTAATTAATCAATCATCACTATTAATTGGTTGTTTCAGATAAACCATTTTCTTTATTTTGATCAAAAAATGGAGTCATATGCATATGGATATTTTCACTGTGAAGATTTCAGTATTAATAAACAAGTAGCTCTGTACTTTCAATTAATTCATGCCTTTCAGTTACATATATGATCAAGGGAGGCTCTAAAAGAGACTTTAATAAAAGAGTTGTAAAAGCATAGATAATATTTAGGAAAAATACGTTATATCCAACAAAACATTCCTTAAAAAGGTTAGATTTTAATCTATTAAAATCACTGTAAAAAATTCTTTAAAAAATTCATGCCTAACCCGTCAACAGTTAAAAATCCAAGGAGGAGTAAAGAACGTATCTAGTACTCCATGCTAGTAACAGTACATGACACGAGAAAACATCAAAATGACAAATATTACATGATTAAAGAGAGAAACTAATAATCCCACATCGGAAAAGCAAAACAGAGACTGGGTTTTCTATCCTTACCTCTTAATTATGGATGAGCTCGGGAAGTGAGATGCTTTTTGAGGTGTTGGTTTTTATAGTTGCTGCTGTGTGAACGATATGGCGTTATGGTCTTATCTAGATGAATGAATATTTCAGCCCACCGTTTCCGCGCCGACGTCGCTCTTCAAGGAAATGCACTTGTCTCCTCCTACGGCGCAGAAGAAGTACAGCTAAGGTTTTTTGTTTTTTTTTATTTTATTTCCTACGAAGAGGACAAGAGCCATGCCTTTTTCAGATTTTGAGAGGTCAGATCCTATCTTTCTTCTGTATATTAACGAAGTATGTTTGATTTTGACGTGTTAAAATATAAAATTATAGTTTTAATTTTTTATCGTAACTTTTGAATTTTTGTGTAATAATTAGAGACTACAAAATATGTTATATTGTATTAGAACAATTCAAATTTGAAACCCACTGCTTACGAATTTAGTCTGATTTTAAAGAAAAATGATAACGCTATCTGATTTTAAAAAAAAATATGAGAAACTATCTATTTGAGGAAGTTTAATGGAATTAAATGTGTACCTTAAAAGATATTAATTATTGGACCATTAATTGAACTTTGTGATTCATGTATTGATCAAAGAGTTGATATCTCTTAGGTGCACATTTAACATCATAAACTGTGTCGCACTATGTATTATCTCGATCTATTTTAAGAGTTAGGACTTGCTTTTTAAATTTTTGAATGTTTTGGGCCTCACAATCCTAGACGGAGTTCCATCCCGTTTAGGATAATGGGACCCAAAAATTATATTTTTAATTTATCACTCATCCGTTTAGTATGATATCTCATGGAACAACCTGGATTCAATATTCTATCTAGGATGCTTCCATCTAGGATAATGATATTTCTACTATTGTGACATTGTTGATCAGTCAGAAGATATATCTGCTAGCAAAAAAAATAGAAAATGATGAGCCGCTGATAAGCCTATAGCACACGAAATCCATCTGCAAATAATCTTGTTCACATAATCACTTATTTATATCAGTTTTGGTTCTAAAAACTTGGAGAAAACACTATTATTTTTCATCTTACTTATCATCGTTTAACATATGAAATTGTATCTTATCTTTGGTTCTTTGCACTACAACACCAACTAAAAGGACTTCCATGTTAAAAGGATAAAAATAAGAACATTGGAAAAGAGGAAAAGTGGTCTAAAACTCAAATCCTGAGGGGCAAAATACAACTGTATCTCGATTTATACATTTTTTCACTGAGGGGGTGTTAGTCAATTGGGACATTTTCATGCAAAATGGGATAATTGTTAAAGTAGAATAATGTTTCGCTAGTGGGATATTTTAGTGGGATAACTAGGAATAATTTTGTGAAGCGGGATATTTTGGTAAAATAACGTGGGATAAATTTTTATAATCATGAAGTATATATTTATGCATTTTGAAGATATAAATACTATATATGTATTTTAAACTTACTATTATTGATTGATAATTGCTTACAAGAATGTTCTTTACTATTAAATAACTTTTGGTTAGACTATAAGATATTGACAATTATTATTATGATGATGGTCTAATGATGGTGATAACCATAATAGGAAATAAGTAAAGAAAAAAAAAAGAAAAAGAAAAAATAAACAATAAATATGAGTTCTAGTTTTTTACCACCTAGTTCCAAGCTAAAACTTGGAATAATTTGAGAGACTAGAACTCTTATTTTTGTATAGAAAAATAAAAAAAAATAGGATAATTTTGTACCATTATCCTAATTCTAGTTTTGTTAAAGTTCTACTTGACTAACACTGTAAAATTTTATTCTAGTTTTAGTTCTATGTGACTAACACCTTAAAATTTTGTTCTAGGTTTAGTTCTATGTGACTAACACCTTAAAATTTTATGCCACAGATTATCCCAGTTCTAATTTTAAGTTCTAAGTGACTAACCCCCCCTGAGAGAAAACATCTAATATGCTTTTTTATTTTATTTTATTTAATATCATTATCATATCATCTTAATAACCTAGGTGGACGCATAACATCAAATTTCGCTTTAGGAAAACTCTATGCATACTTTCCGTTTTAGTCGCATGACAATAAATATCAAAATCCCCGTTTGAGTAAAAGAGTAAGATGAATTGAACAATGCCGAGGAGTAAAGAAGCTTTTATTGGACTTTTCTATGGCCTCCGTGCGTGCCTCCAGCATTTGAAGAAAGAATGGAAAATATCCACCTATTATTTTCAGAAGAATGGCATCAACATTCCACTACAAATGGCACTATAGGTTTCCTCAAAATTACAAAGAATAGTTTCTCCCCCATCTCTCATTTTACAATAGCACACTTATGTCTCGGCTGAAATACCAATTTAGTCTATAAAGTGATACCATCTAACCAATAAAGCCTAAAAAGTGACACCGACGATAATAACACCTATAAATTGATACAGCTAACCGCTTAAACATACTCTGATCGCTTGAATTTTAATTTGTGCAAAAAATTATGGATTTTTACATATATATCCTCTCACACTTACAAATTTATCCTCAAAATATTTGCATAAAAACCTAACTCTCTCTTTCTTTTCAACCCCCCACCCACTCCCCTCACTTTTCTCCTCCACTCACTTCTCCACTTTTTAGGTTAGTGTTTGAGGGGTGAGAGGAGAGAGGAAAAGAGAGGAGGAAAGGGGAGGATAAACTTGAGATGAGAGAATAGAGAGAGATTAAGGGGAGGAACATGGATGGAGGAGGGACAGGAGGAGGTAAAGGTGATGATTTTTGGGAGGAACATGGATGGAGGAGGGAGAGGAGGAGGTAAAGGTGATGATTTTGGGGAGGAAGGATGAGATGGGGTAAGAAACGAGAGAAGAAGAGGATGAAGCAGATGAAGGAGGGAGGGAGGGAGAGGGAGAGGGGGAGGGGGGTATTTAGGAAGGAGAAAATGAGGGAGAAAGTATTTTGGAAAGGAGGAAAGTGGAGAGGATATGATAGAGGGGAGATGAGGAGGATGAAGGAGATGATGGTGGGAAAGAGAGATGGGGGGAGAGAGAGAGGAAGGGAGATGGGGAGGGAGGGGGAGAGAATAGGATTTTTTATAAATATTTTAAAATTTTGGAGGGTAAATTTGTAAGTGTGAGAGTTATGAGGGGTATAAATGCAAAAAAATATACTTTCTGCAGTCAAACCAAGATTACAACGATCGAAGTAGGTTTAAGTGATTAACTGTGTCAATTTATAGGTGTTATTGTCGTCGGCGTCACTTTTTAGATCTTATTGATTAGATGGTATTACTTTATAAGGCTAAATTGGTATTTTTGCCCTTATTTCTCCATAATGATTTCTTTACACCTCTATATGAGTCCAAACCAACTCTATGCTAACACCATTTTCATTGTTGAGCTCCTTGATCCCCCTATTTCTTTTCCTACTCTTTCTTTCAAGCCTGCATTCCTCCCGCCTTCAATATGGAATTGACAATAGTGGGCTCCAAGGTGTCTGTAGAATCTCAAGTCTGTCTTATAATAATAGTTCAAGAACAATTTTTGTTTTCATTCTTTTATTATATTTGCAACTACTTATTCTAGCTAAATCTTGGATTTTAGCCCAACAAAAAAATATTTAATCATTTTATGCACATAATATGGGTTATTAAAGGCTAATCGACAATACGTGTTACTAAGAGCTTAGATGAAAAGTGTATTTACAAATGGAAAATTTTACGAACATGTATATGGTTTTGCTGTAAACTTGGACTTAATCTATATTCTTATATGGTACAACTCACCTTAGAGCCAATAGCGTCAATAAAACCAAATACTTAGCATCAACATTTCATGATTCCGAAATGAAGTAAGTAATTCACATGATTGAGAACCCATGTTATTTATAAAAAAAAAAGGGGGGGCCTTTGTGATATACATAAAAATAAACATATACTGCACCACTCTACGACATATATAACAAATACTGCTATCAAACTGTGATAATTATTTTCTTTTAAAACAAGTCCAACTAACAAAATATATCGGCAATTATTTGCAGGTAAATGAGTAAGTAAGAGCAAGAGAAGAAGGTGAAATGAGGATTAGGGTGGAAATGTCAGTGAAAGGAGAAGGGAAAAAACTAGAAGAGGAATACCAAGAAGAAAAATAACATTTTGAAAATACAATGGATGGTTCAGTTGACATCAGAGGGCATCATGCGGCAAAAGGCAAGACAGGAGGATGGGCTTCTGGGAGTCTTGTTCTTGGTGATTATTATTTCATTAACCTGTTTTCATGTTTTGATACATAGAAATTTCAAGTATTTGTCAGTACAATAACTCACGGTATAGAGTTTCACTTCCTCTTCATGCATACTTTACTTCTTTGAAAAAGAATTTGAAAATGTTTTTTAACATTTGTGTGTGCTAATGTAGAATATACAAATGCCCATCCATTCATCCATTACTTCATCCATTAATGCAAAATAATAATAATAATAATAATAATAATAAATGAACAAAGGTTTACTCATATAGTAAATCATAAAAATGCCCCTATAGCCAGTTTTGAACCATCTTCCTACAAAGAGAAGGGAGTTACTCATACAAGACATTTGAGATGTAAATGTTAGGCTATGTGGAGCTTAACTATCAGACTAAGCCCTATTCGTTACATTGAAGAGAAAAACAGGAAAGAACAAGAAAAACGAAGCAGGCAACGTTTTGGGTGCTGGCCGGTCAACCGCGAGCCAAGGCTCGGTCGATCGGAAAATATGCACACTACAAGGTGTGTTTCTGCACTCTGCCCGGTCGACCGCGAGGCTAGGCCCATCGGAAAATATGCACACTACAAGGTGTGTTTCTGCACTCTGCCCGGTCGACCGCGAGGCTAGGCCCGTGTAGGCCTCAAAAATTACCTATAGGTCCTCGAATACAACTCAAATCAAAGAATGGACGAATCGAGAAGGTTCACGTCAACCAGCTCGCGCACGTCGGTCAACGCGCACGCGTCAATCAGTTCGCACGCGTCAGTCAATGCGCGTACGTCAGTCAGCTCGCGCGAGTTAATCAGCTCGCACGCGTCAATCAGCTCGCACGCGTCGATCAACTCTAAGCGACCGAATGCACTCGTCAGTCAACTTGCG